TTTTTTTTTTTTTTTCTTTTCACCTTCCACTACGATGACGTCGTTTACTATGAATACGCGTTGGGTTGTTGTGTTGAGTTGCGTTTGCTTGTTGCATGTTGGCTACGATATTTACTATACCTCGTTACATCATCTTACTTTAACTTTTTCTTTTTCTTTTTCTTTTTTTTTTTTTTTACGACACGATAACTGGTTACGTTAAAAAAAAACATTTCATTTTCCTTCTTTTATAATATAAGTCTCGTACGATTAAGTTAACGAGAATAAATAAGAATTTGATGCGTGCAACTAAAATCTTAAAATATATGTGTATATATATATATATATGTATGTAATAGAAGAATAAATTTCTACGCGTAGAAAATAAATATTTGAAATAATTTTGCGATACAACGAGAATTATGTGAATCGATCTTTTATTTTCTTCTTTTTTTTTTTTTCTTGTTTCTAAATAAGATGTTTACAAAAAAAGAGAACAATAAAATATAATCGAAATAAAATGTATCTCATCAAAGATGATAAATATTAATTTGTTAAAAAAGAAACAAAAAAACAAAAACAACAAAACGAATAAAATAATATGTAAAATATCTTTTTTAAAATTATACACATACGAAATTTGATTCAATCATTTTGATTTTTCTGAGACGATATAGAAACTATACTTTTTTACACAACTCAGAAGTAATAGTAATATTAGTAGTAATAGTAGTAGAAGAAGAAGAAGAAGAACAAGAAGAAGAATAAGTAATATCGGTAAAGTTGCAAAGGGGGTGGTGAATGGTGTTGGTGGTGGTGGTATGGGGAGTCAACTTTAACGATACGCACACGACTAGGGTAATATGTCGGTTAAGTAAAAGGTGCACGCTTTCGTTTAATAAAGACGACAACAAGTAGAGTAATAGTAGTAGTAGTGGTGGTGGTGGTTGTAGTGTACGATGATGGTATTAGTGTGCGCACAGAGCATTGTTTAGTAATTAATTTAGAACGGAGCTTACCGTGCTTTGCAAGCTCTATCGACCCCATTCCCCCACTTCCCATAGACCACGATCCCCACCACCATACCTACCAACCACGAATTGGTACACCTTTTATCTGACTACACACGCTCAATTAGAATTTTCTTTTTCTCTTTTTTTGTCTCTCTCTCTCTCTTTCTCTCTCACTCATTGTTTCTTTCTTTCTTTCTTTCTCTTTGATTCGTCATTCGCGTAAAACTATTTTTTTTTCTTTCTCTCTTCTCTTCTCTTTTTCGAATGCTTGTTCTAAAGAACCGTAAAAAAGTTTTGTGAGGAGGGGAGGGGGGAGGGAGGTTGGGAAGAGGAAACCCATACAATGAATTTTATAAAAGAATTTAAAGTAATTTTTTTTTATCTTCGAATACGCGTTTTCCCCGTTAAATAGATTTAATGTAAACTATTGTTCATTACGGTATTGGAAAAAGAAAGAAAAAAAGAAAAAGAATAATTAAACAATTGTTATCATTTAAATACAAAAATTTTTTAATTAATTTGATTATAATTACTTTTGTCCTTAGAAAATGTATACGAAAATTTTTTAATATCTTTATAAGTATAAGTATAATAATAATAATAATAATAATAATAATAATAATTTTAACTCTAACGCGTATATAATTTTACAAAAATTCTAATATAAATATCAAATCTAATTGTGTGCTAGTTAAAAACACAAAATACAATAATATATTTTTGATTATAATAGAAAACGCGTCTCTAGGAATTGTATTTCTCTCTCTCTCTGAAAAATACAAAAAAAAATACAAAGAATAAAAAGAAAAATTATTAGAAAATAGTAATGCATCGGATAAGTCAAACGAAAGATACCGAATTTTCTCGAGTTTTATTCACACACACACACACACATATACTCATATATATAAAAAAGAAAAACCGTTTTACACTTACACATATACCATCAAATTGTATATATACAATCACATTCGTATCTTAACATATATATATATATATATACATAAAACTGGAAGAACATCTAAAAGTAACAGCTTGTACCTTGCACACGTACCAATACTAAGAAAATGTGTCAGTGTGAGAAGAGAGAGGCTTTCACGGCGATTGCTTTTTCGGCGTCGTTTGTCAGTCGCGATGCGAGCAGGGTGAAAAATCATTTGACCGTGGTGAATTCGTACCGAGGAAGAAGCTTTTTCTCTTATACCATCCCCCTTTCAGAATCTTTTGAAGAACCAACACCCACACCCTTCTTCTTATTCTTCTTCTTCTTCTTCCCTTTTCATTCTACTATATTTCCTACCCTTTTCCTCACCCCTTAAACCCCATAAACTTCCTCCCACCCACTCCCCATCTAACCCTTCTTCTTCTTCTTTACACGTAGAATAAACGAGAAGGAAAATATTTCAAATTCTTTGGCTGATTCGTACAAGTTGACACTACGTATTTCGAAACGTGAACTATGAAAAATCACTCATCCGTGTATACACAAATATATATATATATTTATTTTATTTGTATATACACACGTATAGGGGTATAAAATCTTTTATCTTTATTCGATCATCGAAAATATATCAAAATATACGTTTGGCAATTTTTTGTGTGGCGGTACGAAATAAAATTGAGATAAATGAGAAAATGGAAAGAGTTTATACATATGTGTGTGTCTGCGTATACATATATATATATATATATATGTCCACGTATGTGTATGTGTATGAGAGTGAGAGACGAATATGTTGGTTGGAAAGAAATGGGCACATATGTATCAGGAACGTGAAAAGAATCTATTTGATGAAATATTCCACCCATGGGGGATAGGGGATCAGGGGTATGGGGGAAAAGGGGCCCAAGGAAAATCTTTGAATTTAAGACTCGATTTAAGATAGCTTCTCCTCTTCCGGCCATTAAGCAAGGAAGCTTTGCTAGATTATTTACGTCTTATGAGAGAGATAGATATAAAGAAAGAGATAGAGAGAGAGAGAGAGAGATAGAGAGTATATGTATAAGGATAGAAAGAGAGAATATTCCCTAAGGAATCGGTGTCCGTTTCAAGGAAGTTGTAGAACCACACGAGGGAAGTATAGTTCGGTAACTCTCGAGACTTGTCGGAGAAACTGACAATGTCTCAAGGAAATTTGAAACTTTAACATCTATCTAAAAGCTTCTTAATGATAATGATGATCATGGAGGGGAAGGGGAAGGGGGTAATGATAATAATGATCTCGCGATGATGGTTGTTTACGTTACAAAAAAAAGGGGGATCGTATTATTTAAAAATGAATTATTTTATACTGTTATATTATGTTTTTGAAATTATTGACTTCATTTGTTAGGAAATTTGTTTAATTTTAATACGTTTAATTATTGTTATATATATGTATGTGTGCATATAAATTATTTTGTATTCAAAAAAAAAAAA